TCAAATTTCCGTTTCCAATGTTAATAGCAATGATTTTTAAATCTCAATTTGTTGCCTTTCTCCCCCAGTATGTTACTCTCAAATATAGTTGCTAACAACAAATCATACAAAACTTGACCTAATGCAATATAAAGCTTGAATGGTGATAAATTAAGTATAAATTTTAAAAATGGAAAATAAGAAAAAAAAAAAAAAAATTAAATTTATTAATATACAAAAATTAAATTAAATGCCTGTTATTATTGTAACATAGAATATGTGTATGCATTGAATGTATTATAATGTTAGGACGATGGTGCCGTGAACCAAGCAAGCAAGCAACAGCAGATTTAAGCAAACGCAAGCAATCACCAACACATCATCAGACTTAGAAAATGACGTTAAAACTACATTAAATAACCGAATACTGCTAAAATAATGTTAAAAAACAAAAAAAACAAAAAGGATTCAATGAAACCCTTATATACTAAATTTAAGTTTTTAAAATAAATCTTTAAATTCAAATTAAGTAACAAAAGTGATTTAATTAATTAAAATTCGTAGTCAGTAGTTACACGTTAAAGTAAATAAATAATGAAAGATAGAAAAAAAGAATACATTTAAATAAAAAAATTAAATTAAAACAATTAACGTGTAACTAGTGCCTTACTAAAGTTCAACTTATGACCTTGAGAAAAAAAAAATCTATAAAAGTAAATAAATTATAATTAACATTTAACTAAAAAAAAAAAATAAAAGTTTAAATTTCTTAAACAAAAAAAAAAATTATATTTATATATATATATTTATATATATATATATATATATATATATATACGTGTGTGTGTGTGTTTGAATAAAAAATAATATTTATTCTAATTCCTCTTATTTAGCTTAGTTTAAATGCTATTTAATTTGATATTAGTTTTTAATTATTAGTTCATTAAATATTTGCCTAGAGTTAAAAAAAAAAAATTGAAATTGTATAAATAAAATAATTAATAAAAACATTATGTGTCTCTCTCATATTTATAACTAAAAAAAAAAGGCCTGAGATGAACTAATTAAATATACCTTCAGTACAATGCTATGAATAGATCAGCCAGTGTAATGTAATGAATGCGTAAACAAAGTGATAAGCGCCTCGAACTTTTCACGTCACCGATTTTCTTCGAGCAAGCATTCACTTAGAGTCCAATCAACTTCAAGTGAGAATTGTTCTTCTTCTTCGTCAGCTGCTGTATCGATTTCATCTCTTATGGGGATCTCTTCAACATCGTCGCCAGGTTTACGATCTTCTTCATTTTCAATCTCCACATTTTGGTTTTGTTTCGTATTTTGAGCAGCCAAAGCCCATGGAATATACGTAAAGATTTTTGTAGATTTATCTGCCGAAGTTTATGAGTCATGATTATAAAACCAATTTGTTATTTCTTTTGGAAAGTAGACGTGATCTCAGCTTACACGGTACTGTAGGCAAGTCCCCCGACTGATCTGACCCATTTTCAATACCAACCTGCGTGCAAGAAGTTCTAATGTCTCAGTCAATTTGAAGTCGACAACCTCATTTTTGATATTACATAGATGGACAGACGGACATTCTTAAATCCATTTAGAATTTGATGCCGATTAAGAATATGCTTTGTGCGATCTCTGAAGTTTTCTGTTGGGCGGTGCAGACCTCATTCTTGGTTGATCGGAATAAAAAGAGAAAATTAATGCATTGAAGAAAAATGTAAGACTTCTTTAACATCTACACACAACAGCAACAACAAGGTCTGAGACTTGAGATTATCGAAAACCAATCAATCTTCATAAAGCTTGTGAACAAAACAAAAAAATATTAGAATGATCAACGTTGGGAATCGGTCCAATCTTTGCAAAAGGATTGATCAAAGCTTTTTTTGCTCGATGTCTAGACCGAGGCACACATTGGAGATCAAAATCTCCGCAACGGAATTACACTCAATTCCAACAGACGCCATTGCTTGCTGCATTATCTGTGTCTATCTTTCCTCGACTTAATGGAAAACATGTCTTTCTTGGGCTCACGTTCAAAATGTCTATTAATTCTAAGTCAAGCTAAATTTCAACTTAATGAAGAAAGCTCTGCGCATTCCACGAGCGTGAGAAAAGTCTTACCTGCCTCATGGCTTAACTTCACGATGTCCGCTGACACAACAGAGAGTGAGGCAACTCCTATCAGCTCGAGCGCCCGCGCTGGGGAATGTTGAGGACTATCATTGTCTTCAATTATTCGCTTTTGGAGATGTTTGTAAACCACAGTCGCCGCCACGATACAGCCCAAAGGTCCCCAGCAATGAGCACTCACAACGACAGCTACTAGAATTCCCTTACAAGAGGCTCCTCCAAGTAAAGTAAGTGATAAGTGACCAACCGTAGAGTTTAAATTAAGACTATATAGCCGTCAGCATTAGTTTACGCTACCGCAGTCACTCTTGCCTTTGAATCTGTCATACGATCCCGGTTAGCCAAATCCAAACTATCCTTTCCCAAGATATACATGCATCGGCAGAACACAACTGACGTGGCTTGCTCCTTAGTATTCCTCATCCTCAGCATTCTGCGACCAAACTGGATCTGCTCAGATGGTTTGTATGCCATCCGTAGAAAAGAAGTGCTCTTCCTTTTGACTTGCTCTTGAGCAAAGAAATGCTCTTTTATTAAAAAGACAAAACTTCTCCCAGTGCATCCCACAAAAAAAAAGCTATTTGTGAGAAAAACCTTTCTCTAGGTTATAGATAGTCAAGCCTTAAAATCTTCTTCGCCGGTCAAATGGTAGTAACTTGAAAAAGATCCTATTAATATGCGGAGGCAGATTTAGAATGATCGGAAAAGTAGACCATTCCAACCCTTAGCGTGAAAGGTGCAGCACGCACTCAATATACTGTAGCCGCGATGTCTTGTTCTCTTCCCTCACTTCTGTCTGATCGTCACCGTGTTAAACCTGTATCGGACATCTCCTGAATAATTAATCAACTGATCCTCTTTACGAAGAAAAAAAGAAAATCTATTTTCTGTATGGATCGTCTTTAGGCTAAGACACTCAATGAGTATATACAATTTCAACAAATTGTATTCGAAGTGGCAAAACTGAAGATAAATTTACAAGGGCGTTCCTCAAAAAGACGAATGGACATCATTTTCCAAATCGATTGGTGTAATAAAATAGGCATTTTATGAACACTTCGAAATGTTGCACTCTTCCATGCAGTGCCATAAAGTACATCCATCTGTTTACCCTTTAATATATATTAAACGATGGCGTGTGAGAACTGAAACTTGTACCTCACAAACGCCAATGTCTAAGCTATGTATATTCAAAATTTTAGAAGAAATGAACACCTCAGCAATGTTGGGCCATGTTGAAAAGTCTCCGCGGTTTCGAAGTTCTTTTTGTAGCCTGCTCTTTTCAAATGATTCTAAACTTTCAGGTGGTTGGTGCCAAATGTCTCCATTATTTCCTGACAGCTTGCTCCATCAGTTGCAAATCTAAATTTTCGGAACAGAATCGAGCAAACCACTCATAGCATTCTCAACGTACACTTCACAAATTTTCTTTTTGCAGCGTTGTTACCACTTTTATAGTAAAAAAGGGTCACTTAGCGTAATTCTTCAGATATTTCTAAGAATTAGAAAACTATCTGCACCAAAAATTTAAGCTTAAAGTTCACCTTTTAAGCACATGTTCGTAAGAGACAATCAGGTAAGTCTTGCTCGATATGTAGGCATCAACTCTATCCCGTTGAAAAAGCCACAAAGAATTTTCAATATGAAAAAAATCAATTACAATCCAAATTCTCCTATTGGAAGAGTATAGAAGAAACTATGAATATACTGATATTCTTCAATGCTAACTGTAGAGTACACTGCCTTAATTACCTATTCGTAAGTACCCCCCATTGCTAAAAATTCTTGCCATAAATATATTTTGCTGGTCTTCCTCTTGCTGTTCGTATATTTTGCTGATCTTCCTTTTGCTGTTCGTATATTTTGCTGGTCTTCCTTTAGCTTATTGGTATTTTTGTACAGCAACCAAGCGTTATCCTTTGGAATGAAAAGTTTAATCATTTCATTAACTTGTTCCTAGGTGACAATACTGATAAACATAGCTCTATATTTTATTACACTGGTTACGTACATAACCATAGCATTTGTTGCATACAATAGCAATTGTTTTGCCTAAAAACAGTAAAGGATTAGAAACGCTCTCGTACCTTCTTTCCCTTCTATATATCATAAATATTCACATAACGTACGTACAAAATTTGTAGAAGAAGACCTGGTACCGCTTTTTCTCAGTACGATTGAATACGAAATGCTCATAATCGAAACTGTCGGAAAAAGATTATTTTTAAATAGTTTTATAATTTAAAGCTTGTCGTGAAACATTACAAAAATACTCTGATAACAGGAGACCGAGCTTTTTTCTCAGTCGTGGAATTAAGCAACGTAAACCGAACATAATGAAGGGACGATTTTATTCCCAAGCGGCAGCATTGTGTTTGACTCTTAAACGTAATAACAATAGCGATCTTTATCGTATTCAGAAAGAGTATATTCTGTGCGCAATTCATATATGAATTTACCGAAGATATGAACACTTCTTGAACAGCTGTTAAGCAAATTCTCATTTGTCTTGTTTACCTCTCACGCTTATCGTACCTTATTTCCAATAGGTTTTGGTGATAGCGTAAATGTTAACTTCACAAATTAAAAACTGTAGAACATGAAAGATAAAGAGAACGAATGAAATGAAAATGAAACTTTTCAAATAAAAAAAAAAAAAAAAAAAAAAATGATAGAGCACCAGCAACAAAAGCAAGAGCAACCGTACAATTTTTTACAGCATATTTTAATTTAAAAAAATAAAAAATTTAATGATAATTGCTTTGTAAAAAAAGCGCAAAGTATGGTTACTTTTATATGCGTTTGAGTGGATGATTCAAAATCAAATTTTAAGAAAAAATTATTTAAAAAAAAAAAAAAAAAAAAAAAAAAAAAAAAAAAAAAACAAAGTGAGAACGGTGCGGCCTACGTGCCAAATATAATAATAATACGGTGAACCATGGATACGACAATTAATAGCAATTGTACTAAACAACCTAAACAACAGAGACAAAAGAATTTTATGGATAATGATAATCTATCCGAAGAAGATATTAGCTTAACAAGACAGCCCTTAAGAACGGCATTAACTGGCTTCCGTGAAGCCAAGAATGCTTTTGAAAATGGTACTGAAGAGGTAATAGCAACAATGAATTATCAAGTAATTGACCTTAATTCCTTTTCAACGTATATTTACATGTACTTATGCGTGCGTGGGGTTGTGCATGTCGGTGTTTATCTATATTCTTTAGGTACGCCGTTTACTGTTGCAAGAGTGTTCACTGATTTACGAATGTCACGTATGTCGTAATCTGTTTAGGAGTTTAGCTAATTTTATCACTCATAAACGCATTTATTGCAAAGAATCTTTGCAATCATCCTACTATCATGGTAACCCGGTGAGTTTGTATGTTAACAATAATTTACAATTTTTTTCTAGTAAAATCTATATAACATATCCGCACAATTGATATAATTTCAGGATCACAATTCTAGTGTTATCATACATACCCCAAATGATAGACAAAGACCAGATGGATGGTTTATTAAGGCGCGCAGTACCGGTTCATCGCCCGTACTAACCAAAACAAGTTCTAGCAATCGAGATCTTAGTAAAATTATTGAACGTCTTAAACGTACTGAAATAAATGTATCCTCTGATGAATCGTTACGGGAACAAAAATATTCACCCGCATCACCTGTCTTGCAATTAGAACGAGTACCCACAAGCACGCAGGCGGTCTATCAAACATTAAAATTTCAAGCGGCCGATAGCATTAAAACCGAAGTAAATGAAGTTAATCATTTGCTGAGTGGTGACGCAGCTGTATTAGGACCAGATGGTAAAGCTGTAAATCAATTAGATTTAAACGATCCATCAGTTGAAAATCTTGTTACAGAGGACAAAATCAAACTGACTTGCGAATTATGTAAGTTTCACGTAACCGAAAGCGCACTCATCATCACAATTATCTGTTCCTTTGCTTTTACAGGTAAAATAACGTTTCTCACGGAGAAAACGTTAAATATTCATATACAAAAGAAGCATACCTCCTCAACATACGTATTTCAATGTCCATCATGTCCATTAACTTTCCTTCAACCGGCTGCGGTAATACGTCATTTAGCTAATGAGCACAAGTAATGATATGCAGTAAAAAGTTCATTTTTCTTTTTTGTTTTGATGAATAATTCGCATTATTTTCAGAAAACCTTTAAAACGCATTCGTAAAATGCGTGACACCATTTTAAGGAAACGCGTGCAAATGGGTGATGTTCACATCAAGGGACCTAGTCGTGAATTGAAACGTTTGCAATTGAACGAAGCCAAAGATCTGCAAAATAATCATGACAACAATCAACGTTTGCTACCTTCAACGGGAACTATTATGACGTCGTCAGGGAAATCAGTTTCCATTTGTACCTTTTGCAAAAAAACCTTTGAAAGGCGGGCCGCTCTATCAGCTCACTTGTTGAATTGTTTGGCTAAAAAGAATTCACCACCCAACAGTAGCCCAAGTCAGCCGTCTGCTAATAAACATTTAAAAATAATGCCTTTGAAAGTATTACAACAGCAACAACAGCAGCAACAGCAACAACATCATCATCAAAGTACTTTTAACAATAACAATAATGATAATAAGAAAAAGGAAAGCCAGAATAATTTAAGTAATGTTCAAATAAAAATTGAGCCCCTTGATCAAGAAGAAGCGGAAAAAATCCAGGACGATGAGCAGATGCAAATTGAATTAAACAAAATGTTTGAAAATCTTGGAAAGCAAGATTTTGGCAAAGGCTTGCGAACAGTGTCTTTAGATAAATTGGACATTTTAACAAGGCAGGAGAACGATTGTCCTTGTCCCGTGGAAGAAGCTAAAGACCGGAATAAGTCTCACGATATATCCGACATTGTAGATGATCCTGCTCCACTTCCACCTCCGTCTGCTGACGATGAAAAAGCCCAGCAGAGTGAACAAAAGAAATCAAAGAAATTGTTAACCTGTCGTTGCAAAATCTGTAATAAACAATTTAATGCCTTAAGCAATTTAAGACGTCACATATCTATGTTTCACTATCGTGCACGTCGTTTTGGTTGCACTTTATGCGAATATCGGGCCTTTAGACGTTATGATATCGTCAATCATTTGGGTTTTGTGCATAAAATGACTGGTGAAAGAGATGTAATGGCCTTGGAATATGTATCTGTTCATGAGGTGAACTATTCGAAAGATGATGTGGAAAGCGATATTTTGGTGGTAAGTGAAGACATAGATATCGATAAAGATGATAAATTAGAAACGGTTATAAAGCGGAAGAAACGTAAAAAATTAATGCCGCTAGCTGAGGTCGCTCATCCAGAATCTTCAGAAAATGGTCGTCTCAAAGGCGCAAAACATAAATTGCGTAAAGGATTTAGGCAGCAAATGGAAGGCAATGCTAAATGCACGCGGAAGAGGCCAATTCGCAATCGCATTAAGCCAGAGAATAAGGACTTTGTTTACGACCTCTCTAATCTGCAGGAAGATAGCCGTGAAAATCAACGAGCAAATTTGAAGAGACGTAATACATTTCTGAGTGATCATAAGAGCTCGTTAAGTTTAGAACTGACACCGCCTATCAAAATAACACCCTATCGCTTAAGGATGGAACCATTATTGCCCACAAATAAATCTTCCATTAAAGGTATTGTGGGGCGTCTCTATCGTAGTGTGGTCAATAACGGCTTAGCAGCCGCTTCAACGTTACCAGAAATACCAACGGAACGACCGCAAATGCGACCTCGCCTCACATCTATATGCCGTAATGATTCCGTTGCAGTGCCTGTTATTGAAACTTCCGAATTAGAGGCAGCCCGCCTAAAGTCACCCTTCCTCGATGACTCATTTCTTGAGAAATTGGCAAAACGTGCCAACACAACATTTCGATTAAAACCATTACTAGCATTACAGTCGCACAGCCCATTGAAAACGTTATTGCAAAAATTCGATACATCTTTACAAATAAGCAAAAACAAAACAAATCAATCTACAAGTAATCAAGTCGCTGAAAATGGCTATAATCAAACTTCGCTGAATTCGTCGTCGTTGTCGTCGTCGTCGTCGTCGTCTTCGACTCTTGAACTTCCATTAGAAACTGTAAAAGAATCACCCGCCTTAAATTTAGATCACACACAAAATGACCAACAATTACAAATTGATACCACGCCTAATGGCAAATTGATCGCGGAAACCTCGAGTCCGCCATCCACACCAAAAAAACGTATTAATCTTACGCAACGTCTAATAGATTCTCGTTCTAAACGACATGACAATGTTTTACGTGCCGCTCTAGAACAATAAAATATATTATTAGTTGATATTTCATTTTCGAGCGGCTTAATTAATTTGATTTAAAATAAAAAATGTATTCCAAAATATCTTCATCACATTTATCCCTGTAGTAGTGTGTTTTTGTACGTTGGTATCTAATGTATACAAAATAACGAGGCACATAAAAGTTAAACATTTTATGTGTCTGTGTATCGTGCAATTCATGTACCTTAAGGTGAAATCATTTATTAATAAATGTTTGAATGGCAGTACATATATGTACATACATGTAAAAGTAATAAGTAACAGTTGTAATAAAGAAAAATAGAATAAAAAAACTTTTGCTTTTTAATTAACTACTTTATGAAGTCTAAAATACACGTTAACTTATTTGAAACTGAATCAAGTTCAGTTAGTCATTTTCGCCCAAAATTATCGTAAACTGCTTGCAACTTGTAATATTTTGTCAACCTATAGCTCATCATCTCTACAAATGCAGCATGTATAGTAAAATAAAAAACAAAAAAACAAAAAAATAAAAGATTAAAAAAAAAAAAAATACAAAATAAGAAATTGTTTTTCAAAATCTTTTTATTATATTCTAAGCTTTCATGGTCGAGGAAGTTTATGGTCTGGCATAGAAGAAATATATATCGCTTCGCTAATATCATCCGTCCGAAGCCACGGTACAGCGTGTTAGAAAAGTCCAGAGTCCATAGATAATTAGAACAGAAAATATTATGCTATTTGTTCATGTGGTAGGAAGTGACTGCGATTTGAAGTGAGCATAAATTTTGCAAAAATAGGCTTCAAGGCAGCCTTGCGGAAAGATTCATCATGTTTATGGTGAAAATGCATTATCAAAATCGGCAGCCCGATCGCTTCCGCTCTATAAATGTCGATGTTAAAGGCGCGTTGCGCACTAGTCCAACCAATCGTTGATAGCGTCGGTGAAATTCCCCAAAAGATTGAAAGACATCATTACATTTTATCTTAAAAAATTCCTGCGAAACTAGATATAGACTAAAAAATTCAACGATTTGTCTAAGGCAAGATATAAAAAAAACTAAATTTCACAACGAAGATTATAATGGAATCGTGGATCGACTAGTGGATCGAAGTGAAATGAGGTGATTTTCGAGGAAACTCATAATGGACTATGAAAAGTGCGTTGCATTAAGAGTGCGCTACAAGCAGATTACTTATAATGATGAATATTTAAATTTTCAATAATTCCCATGCAATACTGTTCTTGGATCAATGAAAGTGAGAAAGATTTTTTTTTTTAACTAATCGTAAAACCATTTGGTAAGTTGTAAGTCAACCGTAAATTTTAATTGGAAAATCGGTAGTCATGGTACTAAACCATGTTAGCTTTGTTTATTTATAATTCACTTTGTTGGATGCCGGAATCCTCGAATACTCGAGATATTGGAACAAAAAAGCAAAACTTGCATGTATTGGTAACTCATAGTTCGCAGCTGCAACAGGTAATGGGACCCACCAAAACACGCTTACGCCTATACAGAAGCTATAAGTTTTATTTTAAAGCAGACGCTGTAAGTATAGTTCGCAGATCTTTCTAATCGAAATGCCAACAATTTATAAAATACTTTCCAAATATTTTCAGTTCGGTGATGTTTATCAGAAATTCTTATCAAGGCCACGGGAAGTTTTTCAATTGTTATAATGGGAAATGTATTTCAAAGTTTTCCTGAATTTTCGAGTTAATAAAAAAGGTACACAAAAGTTAGCCATTATATTCACATATTATAGGGTGCACTAAGTTGGTGATGTAGAGACTGTTGGAAGGTATACAGAGCGCAATGAATGCAGTGTTTGCAGTTTTTGAGAAAATGTCTATTTTTCTTACTAACGAACGATTGTAAAGTCGGTCGAGTTTACTCGATGTTGATAACCTTAAACCGGCCTTTGATTTCTGATATGGTTTGACCGGTTTATCCATTTTGTGTACTTTGTGCCTTGTGTATGGTACATGGACCTGACGAATCTTATTGAAAATTCGCGAAATCGGAATACCTTACGGGTTATACTATATAAACACCTTTAAGCGTGTAAGTAGGACACATTACTCCTTGCAAGCAAACACATCCACAAGAAAGATGCAAACAATTCACTTCTAATTTAAGGTATATAAGGTATAATTTAGAAAGCTACATACAAACACTATAATTATTGGAGCATTTGAAACAGCGACACACGATACAGTATAAACAATTTTGAAAGTAGAAACATTTTTTTGAACATGACTTAGCATATTAAAAGTAAAAGGCAATTTTTGAATAACATATTCTTCGGCTTTGTCATTGTTTTACAGTTGTTTTATTTATATATAAATTGAATTTCACTACAACACTTTTTTTACTGCGTTCGATCCGATTTGTTTTTTTCAAGATCCAATTTAAAATCAACTGGTTTGTCGTAACCCATTATGCGAACATAATGCTCAGGATTGTCGAACATAGATGGATCCACAAATAACGCCTTTTTACCTACAAAAAAGGAAGTAAACATTCCTGGTACCTCAGGTACTTTCACGTCAATGGGACGAAACTTTGTTTGAATTTTCTGCATTAGAATCGATATAGTGGTCGCTACATATTCTTCAGTTTTCGGATTATAATATATTTCCGTAACATATTTTTTGGTAATAAAATGAAGCAACAACGGTGTTACAAATGTAAAGAAGCCGGCAAATCCACATATAAAAATTGCCAAAGCAGTACCGCCTAATTTTGCACTCTGCTCCATAAGAATGGGTTGCGCTGCCAAGCCCACTAAGCTAGTAGTAAGCGAGAGTATTTTGACTGCTCTCATCCGTTGATTTAAGGAACCACAGTAAACACATTGTAAACTATTAATGTCGTTATTGTTTTCCGGTTGTGTGGCGTAAAAACATTTACTTTTGTGTTGTTTATCAGGTGTTATCTCTTTGGCAAAAATATTTTTCTTATATTGTCTGCTTATTTGCGAGCAATTCCAATTGATGGGTAATAACACATTAGAAATTTTTCGTGTATGAAACCCTTGATAGCCTAATCTCCTAATCCCAATTGCTGTGCAAGATATTATTCGCGGAGCTAACATCACAATTCGAATTAATTATTTATTTAAATTTTATAGAAAACTATACAATTTTGCCGGATTCAATAGTCGCGAAACTTATTAAATAATCAGCGGAGAGAAATGTTAAACATATGCTGTCCGAGTAAGTGAGAGCAAACGTTATTCTGTTACTAAATGCGAAGTTTTCAAGAGCACAATAATTTCACATGAACTACAACACACTTTGTGCTGCATTGTCGCAGCAAAGCCGTACCATGTTTGAAGAAATAATCGTATGATTAGGTTTGGTTTGCATAAACATCATTGTTTTTTGCTAGTAAATGCAAATATAGATCAAAGAAGAAGAATAATAGATATTTACGACTGTTTCCACTATAAGGTTATAAATAAATAAGTTCGTCATATGGTTTGACATTTAAATGCATGATGCACGAAAAATACGCGCGCATTTAACGCTTTTTAAGGCAAGTATTATGAAATGCATATACAACTATCAAACATCTTTGAATGAACCGTTAAGATTTATTGCATAATCTTTCTTCTCTACGGCATTTGATTTTATGTGCGATGAGAATACATTAAGGTATTGGTGACATTGTTATTGTAAAACATTTCTTGCTCTGAGAACACGAAGAATTAGTAGAGAAACCAGAAGAATTAGTAAAGAGTACAGTTGATTACATGAATGTCGTGAACATAACATTATTATAATGTGTAATATAACATATTACACACATTTTCTACATCCTCTTCTTTAGCTTACAATTTTTTATTTATATGTTTTATTATAAATGAGATCTCAACCTTAATAAAAATTTGCTCAAGTTTCTTATTATTGTCTCGTTATAAAGAAATTTTACAAGAACACAAAGTCTTCTATTTCAACAGACACTCTCGTTGTGCTCTCAGAAACTGGAAAAGAAAGGACAAAATCCCTTTCTCATCGTCACAATGTTAAAACCAACGTCGAAAGAGACTTGAGCATTAAAAAAATTTTACTCTCGAAGAAGAATTTTCTCTCAACACAGCAAAACAAAACTTTTGTTCTCAAAAAATATACAACATTCTTTCAAGTATTGAATTAAATACATGTATGTTATTTGCAATAGGTGTGAACGTATAAGTTTAGGACCATCCTAAAGCCATAAATTCAAGAACCACCTCAATGACCGAAATAAACAAACATAGAATTTCATAAACAACGAGTGTAATACGAACTCGTTGTAAACATTTCTTACCGGTCTCACATTGCAACCTACTGTAAATATTATTCCGGTTTTGCTAAAGTGCTGATTGAAACTTATTGGATAATCCAAAGGTGTCCTATAAGTTAAATTGTACAATTTCAGCTAGTGCATTTTTGACATCAATAACAATACCGTCTAGACGTTCCTCAAATAAAATAAAGATTTGTTAAATAAAATAAAAATTAAAAATAGTGTTTTAAGTAAAAAGATAAGCCCAATAAGTAAAAAACTTATTTAACTTACACACCTATACATATGTACGATGATAACTTCATATACATGATTATTATTAACAAACAATGCTAACACAGATCATGCAAGAGTAGGAGAGACGTAAGTGTTACAATGATCAGACAGAAAGACGACGTTTGTTTAGCAGCCCTACTTTAATTATTGTCCGCGCATTGCTGGCACAATGGATTAGAGAAGGTTGACTGGCTTACGCTAGTCACCGTCCCTGACTGTTACATATCACGGATAGGTGGTTATCAAGTTCAGTTTATGCCTAATGGATAGCTCTGGTTGACTTGCTGCCATACCTTCTATTTTTCATCAAACTGTTAGGGCACTTGTAAAATGGCTTTGGTGCTTCGCCAAAAGCCGTTAGCCACATCTTTCCTTTACATGGTCTATAAACAAAAGTACCATGTGTTGAGAACAGAGAGAGCACAGAGTTGCTTTCAATAAATTGCAACGCTTCGCGCTGAACTAACAGGAAGTAATAATCAAGACGCGAAAAATGAAACCGTTATTATGAAAAGCGTCAACGAAGTATCTAAGTACTTCGTCCTTAGTACCTTAAAATAATTTGAAGCTTCTTCAAGTATGGGAAATGTATTCCCGACTAAAAATAAAAGTATGATTTCAAAATCAAACGAAAGTCTAAGTATTTTGTAAATTTCTTGGAAACGGATCTCTGTAAAGCTCTGAGTTATACTTTGACTAAAAGAAATCGTGATAATTATCATTTAGCTAATTATTAGAAATTTTCGTTTATTATGGAACTATTTTTAATGTGATGTAATGTTCAACGTTACAATGTGCAAAATGCCTGTTTAAGATTACCTGCCTTTAGGTTCCACTTTTGTATAACGAATTTCGATTAATTAAAATATAATGGCGTAAGAAAGAAAAGGGAGCTTAATATGTCAAATATAAATTGTCGAAAAAGGTAAAAAAATAGCTCTCATGTAATTGCTCCCATGTAATTGCTCTAGGAACACCTCTACTCGACATTACAGTATATCAAAATTTAGCGACTTTTCAACATGGAGAAGCAAGCTTGAAATACCCCATACCGCACATAAATTGTTGCTCAGTTTCAAATCGGAATGCGCCTAAGCATGGGCGTCCGTTGATCTGTTCGTCTGCCCCACTATGTAGTATTGGAGATAAACATTTGCAACGGTTAATACATCGCTCATAAATTTGCAAAGGTTTTGAATATGACCTAAGCTAAGCAGACCAAAGGACATGCCCACAACACCCACATGTCTATGAAACAAAAGCAGTGAACACCTTTTCGCTTAAAAGATTCCCCGTATAAAAAATACGGTCACGTTCAAATATAATTTTCTTATTTGATTACTTTTCTCTTAAAATATAGAAGAAAATCCACCTACCTTAAGTAGATCGTTATCGTTAGATAGCGTAGCACCTTCTGCAGCTATACCGATGATATCGCAACAGGCATCCAGTTTATCGTTGAACGATGTTAATGATCTGAAAAATATAGAAGAAAAGGGTGTAAATAGCACGGAAGTTTTAACTTTAGGGAGTGAGTTTAAAAGATTTGAAGAACCCGAAGCTGTTATGGTCGAAGTCGAGGATCATATTGTGGAAACAGCTTCAGCATTGATAACTGCAAATCCCTGGGATAAGCAACAGACACCAATTTATAAATATGAAGAAATTACTTGTAACGATTTTTGGTGAGTTTATTTCGCGACAGTTATCATAATAATCCTTTTCACATCTTTGTTCATGCACATATTTTAGTAATACGAGGAGCGTGCAAAGTTTTGAGTCTCATACTAATGTAACTCCGTTATTGAATGTATTGAAAAATATCGAAGAATTGTTGAAATTATTGAAACAAAAATCACCAGATATAGGGGAAAATATGATTTTGAAGCAATGTGAATCTGTAGTGACCTTGACACGCAACAGCTGTACTTATTACTCGGAAAATCTGACGAAGCCCGCTTTAGTAAATGCTATATCTGATGCGCAAGTCAAATTAAGTCGCTTAAGAGATTTGGTAAGAGTTTTCCAAGTTAATCGTGCCGATCTATATTGTTATTAATCATTAATCTTAATATTCAATAGAGCGCCAAATCGCCGTTAGACGAAGCTTGTTGCCAGGAGATTATGAAGGAACGCAACGCAAAGTATTACGAAGAATTTCATGGTCTGCGGGAAATATGCGCAATATTTATATGAAAATTGGAAAAATCCGCCACGTACACGCAATATTATAGAATATGAAAATTTAGTTCTTTCTTTATTTTTAGCCTTTTTTAGGATAAGAGAAAGATTCGGTCGCGACGGTGTATATATAATTCTCTCATTTGTTTACTCTTCAATTTTATAGTTCACTTTTCAAAATACGTAGCTCTTTAGTCATCTCTGATATTTTGAAGTGACATTATTGTGGGAGAGAGCTATTGTTACTAAAATACCGAATACGATAGCCAAGACAAAAAAAATTAATTAATTTTTTTTAAATTAAATAAGAAGTGGCAAATTAAAGCGCATATAATTTGCTAAATAAAATATTTCTGTGTTTTTTAACTTTATTAACTTTTTATTAACTTATTTTTTATTTATTATTAACTTATTGCAAGTGCCACGTGCATGAGTTTGATATTATGTTCCATTATGATTTGTTATTTTCACGCAGAGGCGCCCCTTAAAATCTAACATACCCCTTTGTGGAATCTGGAGTCGTTTTTTGTGGAATCTGGGATCGTATATCGTCGGAAAGTGCCGTACGGCACTTGTAAGAAATATAGTGTAAACAAATTAATGATAATTGCCTGCACACATAAACTTATTATGCGAATAGATAAATAACTCGGCATTTCATTAATTATGTATCAGAAATTGGATGAATCAAAGTCTACGTCTCTCTTGGGCAAATATATTAAGGTGTTCCTAGTGGTAACCTTATATTGGTACATTATTTTTCTTAATATATGCTGTACCGTTATTTAAAGAACATTTTATTTCTAGGATTATTTCAATTCTAACAGTGTTTGTTAATAAGCATCTACTTAGCAGTGATACCGTAAGCTTAGAAGCTCCACTTTTTGTGACATGGTTTCAATGTGTTGTTAGCGCTGTCATTTGCTTTATTGCCAGTCTTTTGGGAAGACATTTTCCTTCCTTGGTTAATTTTCCTGAAGGTAATCCATTAGATACAAGCACTTTTCGCAAGGCAAGTAAGAAACACTCATATTACTTGGTTATGAAAATATATTTCTTTTTCAATTTATAGATGATGCCTTTATCGGTGTTGTTTATCTTAACAGTAGGTGCGAACAATTTATGTTTAAAATATGTTGGTGTGGCTTTCTACTATGTTGGCCGTTCTTTAACCACCGTTTTCAATATGGTATTTACTTACGTTTTATTGCGGCAAAAGACAAGTACACCAAGCATTTTATGTTGTTTGCTAATAGTGGCTGGCTTTATGTTGGGAGTTAATCAAGAGAGTCAAACTCTTACATTTTCTTTACAAGGAACAATTTTTGGTATCCTAGGATCATTGGCTTTGGCCTTATATTCGATACAAACTAAAAAAAGTCTCCAATATGTTAATCAGGAGGTGTGGCTTTTAAGTTACTATAACAATTTGTATTCATCACTATTATTTCTACCCTTAATTATACTTAATGGTGAACTGGAAGCAATTATAACGTATAAGTCATTATATGAATTTTGGTTCATATTCATAATGCTGGCAGGTGGTTTATGTGGTTTTGCAATTGGCTTTGTAACTACTTTACAGATAAAGGTAACTATTTCTTATTTAAACTACAGAAAACTACAGAAAAATAAAGTTAATTTTGATTTAATTATTATTTTAGGTCACGTCACCTTTAACGCACACTATTTCAGGTACAGCTAAAGCTTGTGCACAAACGGTGCTAGCAACGCATTGGTATCAAGACAAAAAGTCATTTCTTTGGTGGACTTCCAATGCAATTGTACTGTTGGCAAGTGCAGCTTACACCAAAGTTAAGCAGCTAGAAATGCAACGCCAACATCGTTCTTCAGGTATCGGTCAAAAAGTATGATAATAAAAAATTTAAGTAAAAAATAACACTTAAATATAAACGTATAATTATAGTAGGGCTATTAACTAAACTGCACCAATCTATGTGTAGAAAATTTATATATTGGATTTGGTACGATACTGCATTAAGAACCAAAAAATTACCAAAATTTGGTAGAAATATTTTTGGTGCCCTATCAAGCAATCGAAAAATTAATTAAAAGTTAAAATTGAACTGGTTTAGTTAATTATCATATTCTTAAGGACATTATCTTATAAGCATATTTTAGTTCATCTTACTGTTTAGGAACAAAATTTAACTGCATAGTGAACTAAAAAGTTGTTATAAATATTAATACAGACAGATCATGACTATATTCTTAGTTTATGATCACGGGTCAAATTTTAAGAAGGCTTTCTTTATGCTGTAAATACTACGCGGTTGCTATTAATGATCTCCAACTCTGAAAAATGTCCCTTTATTTATTTTTTACATTTTAAAAATATTCCTTTCTGATTGTAAGTAATATCTGCCGTAACCCTGCTTATAGCAAAACTTGAAGCACAAAATATTTGTTGATTAATTTACTACTTCAAAAACTTTATTTTCTTATAAAATAATTTATTACTCTTCATTTTTTATTTTAGCGGCATTTTCACCATTAGATAAGAGGGTGATTCAGGCAAAACGATAAAAAGTATTAATGAAAGGCAACGGAGAACTCCGCATAGATAAAATCCCGAAACGAAAATTCCGAATACAACTGCCATTTGAAAAATGTTTACTGAAACAGGCGACATACATATTAAGCATAAAATATTGCGATTGGACCTATAGGTAAATAATATGCAACCAAAACTTAGGTCGTTTCTTATGATTTGCCCACCACCTTCCATATATTTGAGATCAATTTCCAAAATACTATTTGGTCCTGACATTCCTTGTGTTGTTGTCTATCCATTTCAAATTAAGCTCAGTAAGAAGAGGCAATGCTCGCAATATTGGCCGTACTAACCCATTCACCGGTACAATTTTGTGGTAGCGTGCAACAAGATTTTACGTATTCTGCTTTAACGGGCGTAAGATTTAAACGTTTCGGCGAGTTTTTCGACATCTTCAGAGTGTTACATTCAGCGGTTATAGACACACCCATATATAAATCATCTATTCAAGTTTTAAGGAAACACCGATATTTCTCATTTTTCTGCAACTCCTTCGTCTTAGTCCCAGCAAAGTAGAGGTTTTGATCCACAAACCAATCACTTAAGCAATTATACCCTTCTCGAAGTTCACAGTTTGGAAAACTCCTTTTGAAAAATTATGTACATTTTTGTTTCATAATTGGAAAGAAGTATAACTTTCTCTCGATTCTACTACCGTCTTCGAATTACCATTCTCAAGTAAAGTGGCAAGCCGTACCATCATAACACTATAACCACAATGTCTTCAACACACCTAAATCGTCCACGTTTGACGACCCTTGTCGGGATAATATGTGAAGCAGATGAGAAAATTAAGGTTGCGAGGTCTGACTAATTATTTATACAAAAAGAAAAGGTTAAAAAATATTTATTTTTTTTCGTAATGATCGGGAAAGTTTAATTGCTTGTGAGTACATTACGAGTAAACATCACACATTGGAATAACACCCCATATAAACGTAGATTTATGCACTCGTCTAATTGTAGACCTATATATGTAGCTATAAAAAATTCTGATGGCTTAGTTCAAGAACCAATCAAGTACACCAAAGCTTGCTCGATAAGCTCTTGAGGTTTCGTCAACTTGGAAATTTTTAGCAACTTTTTACACTGCAGGACTAATATTAAAAGTCAGGTTTTCTAATTGGCTTTTCACATCATTTCCTTGAAATTGTAGAAGATTTAAAGGTTGACAGTCTCGAGGCGGTCTATGAATTCCGCTTTAATATTTATTTGAATTATTTATTGTAACTTTCTCTCTGGTAAGAGAAGGAAAATATTTATATTCCCTTATTATAATAAATATTATCGTTCGTGCGCTTTAGGCTGTAACAAATGAAAGATCATTTTTATAGTTTTAATAAATTATAAATCTTGTGAAGAGAAAAAGTTTTTATTCTTAATTCAGAAATCTACTTGTTTAATAAAACTTCTCACATTTATTTCACTTTAATTGGCGGCAACCTTCTTTGCTGCTGCTTCTTCATCGCTATCGTCCTCTTCTTCAGTTCGGTCGCTAGCCGCGCTCTTTCTGGCGTCAGGTTTTGTGTACAATTCGGGTACGTAAACAAAAGGATCAATTTTTAGCTGCTCTGAGCTAGGCGGACTTTTTAAAAGCACTCGTGTTATAAAACGACCTTCACGTTTTGGGCGCATTGTATTAATATCTTTCAATAGATGAATTAAATTCTCTTCCAAATGCTGACTGTCCATATTCAAAGTTCCCACACAACTCTTAACTAAACCGAAATCTTGCTGGTGTTCATCTTTGGCAGCTGCGTAACTAATACCATCAGCGAAACGTCGTATCATTTCGCTTAGATTGACACCTAAAGTCTCCGATTTCGGATTAGGAAATCTCCGCTTTAAAAGGCCACGCAATGCAACCAGTTCCGGCAAAATATTCGTGTGCGCTATTATGTATTGGTAATCGGCTAGCAAAAGTCCACCTTCAGTAACATCCTTAATAAGTTCAACTCCGCCGACAAGTGTACCGCCAGCTTCACGAGCTTTCTCTATTTCGTCCTTTTTTTTTTTTTTTAATTAAAGGAAAAACGATTACTTTTTATAATTAAACCACTGAACAACAGGCACATAGTTTGATTAAGCTAGTTCCAATAAATAAAAATGACTAACTAGAAACTAAAAATCCCCAATCTAAGCAAATTGAAATTCGTACGTTTGTTTCCTTATCTATCTATCTTAAATACCGAGAATCGGACCGGCTGAGAAGCCTTACACGAAAATGTTTTTGATTGTCCGCCTAATAGTCACTATGGGTGTGTTCGCAAAGATTACAAGATAATGAAATTTGTGTATTTTAGAATAAACCCTGAGTACAAAAGATTCACTTGTGTCGAATAATATTTTGCAGACTATTTAACTCACATTTCCTTTAGTGAATACTAAAATGCGTCTCTCTTCACCATGATCATATTTATGGGGCACCAAAACCACACGCTGAAAATTGTCTACATATTTAGTAGATTTCTCAGCTTTCATATTCAATTCAACATCTACCATCAGGCGAGCATTGGGTTCATTGTACATAGTAGGATGATGAGTTTCCCGATGGCATTGTATGGCTTCTGCCACCGTATACACTGGCCAACGATAGTATTTTCCAACATAACAATTGTCAGTAGATACTTGTTTCCATGAATCGTCCACATGTTTATTTTGACGCTGCAAATCAATTCTTCAATATAAGATTTAAAAAATTTCCAGGTAATACTTGATGATGCTAGTATCATGTCTGTGCGTACGTACTTTTTATCTCTTTGATTGTGCGGTATGAAACCGACTTTTTTCACTTCCACTTTAACTTTTTTCTTACGAGCTTTTTCACGTGTTCCTTTGCGAGCAGCCTCGCATAAAGCTGTCGTATGCAAAGGACGCAGTGTCCCTTTACCACATTGCCGGCGAAATACTGAAATGAGCAAAGGTTTCGGTAGGATGCATAACATTTTAATGTATTCTTCAACTATTTTTATTTATAAATTACTAATTTTATTTGCTTCTTGTCTTCTATAATTCTCTCAAAAACATCTGTTCGGTTTCCCGCGTTGCCGGAGTTCTGAAATTTTTCAAGCGGAATTTTAAAGCAATTAGCTCGCAGATATATGTAATCTAACGAATCCGTTAGTATATATTGATTGTTAAAAGCATGATGTCCATAAAATATTCAATTTCATTAAAATAAAAAAAATAACTAAGATTTTTGTAAAAAAATGTAGCCGATAGTGTTAGTTGTTGGTACCCATCCTACTTTAGTCTTAGAACATATTTCCTTGGTCCAAATAAATTAATAACAACACAGTATGTATATACGTTTTCGTTAGTGATCAGTTCAGATCGAAATGGACTTGTTTCTCTTCTTGTAGTATCTTTACCAAATACCGCAATGGGAAGGGTAACATGTCTTAAGATCGAAAGCATTCTTTATGCATTCTCGAAGCTATGTCTCTAATGATTGATAAAAGCTATGAGCTCAGTATATCACGCTACTCTCCTACGTTCGATTATTCATATGTCTTCTTGCGGTTGTACTTAAATCATAATGTTATGTATAATATATGCGAATTAAACTTGTAGAGCCACCGACCATTTCCCCTAACAGAAAGCTGTACATGGACTAACAGAGCTCTGTCAAGTAGTGCTGTTGAATATTTCTATCTCAAACTCAACTTAGGTCCAAGCTTAGCTTGAAATACATTTACACCTTTCCAAATGATTTTCTGTATTGATTGAGGTACGTCTGTCCGTTTGCTTGTCTTATGCCTATCCATTTAATCCAACGTGAAATAATTTGATGAAATGTGATAAACTGCAACGTTTGGATCCATTCTTTAAAAAAATTCTCGTGTTATATAAATAATTTGTTATTTTTAATATTTGTCGACAAATGTCTAAAATGAAGAGGGTGCAGTTTTTTGAACTTCCTACCTGTAAACGTGCTTAAAAAGACATATCTTTATATGGTAACGATGAGGTGACGCATCATGGCTAATGATCGAGAAGATTCGACTATAAGGTTATAGGTTTTCCCAAGACATTATTATAACGAAACATAATATTGCGGTGATATAGCAAGCTTTCTCTACTTCAGACTTCAAGGTCGGCTTGCCCATTTTCCAATAAGAGCAATAACTTACCCCGCAAACATAGTTTTTCAATAACAAGCAAAGTAATGGCGGAATCGTAAATTGAGACAACCTAAGAGGCTTTTCTCATCAGGATCGCTCTCAATACAAAATTGCATCGATAAAAGTATGTAACAGTAAGGAGAACAACTTTAAATGGAATGAAACAATTAAATTCTGTTTTGGGGCAATTACAAAAATGTTGTTGTAATTTGATTAAAACTCTAGAAAATTAGATATGATGCTTAAAGAAATGCTAACTAACTATCTAACTAATGACTAAGTCCAATAACGAACTGGTAAGGAAATTACATTCGGCATCTCGCACTATTACAATCTTTATCGTCCCACGATTTTGTTTACGATTATGAAGGAGGGAATAGGATAAAATTTGTCTTCCAATTTTTTGTTCACTATTGTTACGAACAAATTAATTCACTACGTCGTGGCGACCATCAAAATTAATTTCGAATTAAAACACTTAACTTTTCGCATTCTACACTCCAAGCTCCTTCGTTTGATGCCTATATCGTTGGAATTGTTTATGGGGTCGGGTCTCCCATATATATTTCGAAATTAACGCATTTCTAGGCAGATGGTATATAACTGAGGACTGCGTAAAGTAATTTTAAACATTCTGTTTCGTTTACCCTAGAATCAATGAGTATAAATACTCAAATTAGTGACGAAATGAAAATTTTATCATTTACAATTTCATGTGGGCAGGAACGATTTTTATCCAATTTTGCACATAACTAGTCAAGTAAAGTAAAAAGTGGGAAATTTCAGCTTTCTATCCTTCATAATATGTGAATAATGAGCAAAAGTTCCGTTCAGTTTATGCTTGACTACGTGCATGTATTCTGAATAATTTGACGCGCAGAAACTTCCAAAGTATAACGCGGCCAAGTAATATTAGGATAACAAATTCCAAAAGTCCATAGAAACACTGCTTAAGGTCGACGATATCGAACTCCGATAATGTGTCGAAAACTAATCGACAGACTTATGATCAATTTAGCAAATTAAAGAACAAATAATTTGAGAATGATGAGCCCGTAGTAACGATTTCATAGGGACATGGCGGCGATCAGTGTAGTTGATAACGCTTTCAAAATTTAAAGTTAACCGCAAAAGTATTTTAAAAAAAGAAATGACAAATTATTAATTGATTTATTGCTCTTGCATTGCGGTCGTTTTGAAAAAGAATTGGAAAATGAAAATCTTTTGAATATAATGAATTCTATAAAACGTCAAGTTTCTTGTTTGTTATCATAAATTTGATCAAAAAACGGTACGGTACGCAAGTAATTTGAAAATGCTTTTGAAGTGAAAATTTTTGAAAACTTTAATAATAGAAGATTTCGTAAAGAGTATTAATAATTAACTAAAGGAAACATTTCGGTTTTGTCGGGAGATTGCTAATGAGCATTCAAATGATGATTTTATTCTCTTGTGTTTTGTTTAAATTTCAAATCGAAAGAAAAATTTTCAAGAGATTTTTGAAAAGTTTTCCATTTCACTCAGAATAGTATTGAACGTTAAGCGCAACGGATGAATATCGTAACGAAAATAAAATAATGCGAAAATGCATTGCACGCGGGTGTGTTTGTGTATGCGTTTTCGTTTTATATATATATATATATATATATATATATGTGTGTGTGTGTGTGTACGTGTCTATGCATATTGTAACCATTTCAAATAATTTATAATAGAACGACAGTGTTTTTAGAAATTCGAAGATACGTGCATAATATGTATATAACAAATATATATATATATATATACATATAAATAAAAGTGCATTTTATAGGAAAAAGTGCGTAAAGAAGTTTTTTTCAAAAAATTTTCAAAAAAAAAAAAAAAATTATCAAATTCGATTTAATTATTTTAATTAAATAAGAGAATTTAAGAATTATATGAAATAAAAAAAAATAAATAAATAAAAAAAACAAAAAAAAGTGGTAATAAAAAGTATTTGTGTGGGCTTGTCTGACTCTGTGTGTAGATGTCGGAAAATTCACTTATATATTGAGGTTCTCGGCACATATACTTATATTTTTCTTTCTTTTTTGTACAATTTTTTTTTTTTTTACTTTAGTTGTTGTTGCTATTATTATTATTATTATTTTCTTTTCATTTACTCACCTTATCCATCGCACCCCGTCAACTCGTATTCGTTATATTTGTATGTTTAGATTGGCAAAGAGTGAAAGTGTTGCTTTCCTGCTAGCTTGCTTTCCTGCTTGCTTACTTGCTTACTTGCTTGCTTGCTTGCTTGCTTGCTTTTTTTGGTTGCTTGTCTTCTATTATCGTTTGATATGATCGAAAGTCAAAACTAAAAGAGAACATATCTCTCATCAATCACCGTAGGAGAAGACGAGAGCCGAGTTCCGAGACAACTAATCTAATATATGCATCCATGTGCTTAGAATCTTTTGTTAAGATATGCACACTTAAGCAAATGATGATTATGGATATGTTGAACGACGATAATATTGTTGAAGTGTTCGTTTTAATTTAAATAACATAAGAAAACAATAAAATTTCGTTTATGTATATCATTCAATAACAACAACAACAACAAGAACAACAACAACAACCAAAAAGAAAACATTTTTCCATCCATCATCGAATAAGGAGAATACACTAATTTCGTTATTTATTTATTATATATATTATAACGTTCAGAATTACACATCGAAGAGCACATAAAGCTTCTTGATCTATTCCATTTGACGGCCCGTCCGCACTTCAATCCTTCCGTTTATATCATCGATCTTTCGATTCTTCCTTTTTTCCATCTTTCGATTTTTCCCATTGTCCCTTTTTCCTTTCCGTTCATTTCTCTATCTTTCCATCCAACTTTCGGTTCGGTCTATCAGTCCCTCTATGTTTTCATCCTTCGAGTTTTGCGTTCGTCAACCTGTTTGAACTTTTAAGATGCCGAAAACTGAAGGAATAAAGTAAAGTCGGTTCAATTTCTTTGATAAAATTTCATAACTGGTGTAGTTTAATTACCAAAGGTAAACACGCATAAACGAACAAGTAAGACAGTTATATTATATCCATCTTAAGGTTTTAATGTCTAAGAAATCCGTTTTTTGTAAACGCCCCATGACTTTACGAATTAAACATCCACCAGAATTAAATTATAACTAACCCACTTTACTGCATTCTACTCTCCAACTCCTATGATTTGCTGCCCCTACGGAAGGTATTTTTAAGAAAACATTTCTCCACTAAGTCATGATTTCTATCTTAATTAATTTAGAACACAGTAAGCTTTTCGCATTCCACTGTCCAAGCCCTTTTATGTGATGCCCATATCGAAGGTATTGTAACAAAAAATGCGAGATTTAATTTGGAGCTAACCCACTTGGCTTTTCGCATAATATAGATATAGATTCAAACATTCGGTTTTGCTTGCCTTATGATAAAGAAGCATAAAATCTCAGTTTACGTTATACTGCGGATTTCTGCTCTGACCAATTTGACCCATTTTCAATTCTAACCTGGGTGCAAAAACTTCCAATGCTTCCACCAAAATTTGAAGTCGTTATCTTCATTTTTGCAACCAACAAACACACACAAAGCCACACAGATGGACAGACATAACTGAAGCAATTCAGAATTCCACGCTGATTAAGAACACTTTATAGGGTCTCTGAAGCTTCCTTTTGAAAAAAAAAAAAACAAAATGGGTACGCTGGCATCCTTCGGTGTTGGGTGTTGGGACGTTTCGCATGTACACATATTTCTACGAAAATCCACACACAATTGACTGAGTGAGAAATTGTTGTCGCAAAAATGGGAAACAGGAAACCGAAATTGGCCATAGACATTGACGGGTTCTGTAAATTCGTCCAAATGATTCGCTATATCTATGTGTAAGCGTCCAAAATTAAAGAGAAATTTTGCAAGCTTTTTGTAGATTATTCACCAGCGGTTATGCTTCTTTGCCTGACCGTCGTATAGGACCTTCGAAGTTATGATTCTCCACGATATAAAAACTATTTGTTTAAGTAATTTGTGTGGATTCGCTCACTAAGCAAGGCTCACTAAGGCTAAGCATTTGTAGTGTGGTAGCAAGACTAACTACTTGTGATTAAAAATATCAAGTGCTTGTGTTCAAAATTCAGCGGAAAGTTTTATTTAACCGTTTCGTCTGCATTCCTCGGTATCGCCTAATTTCTGGCTATTCTCAAAGTTCAGAAAATTGCCCCAGAGATAACGTTTGGCCGCCACCCGAGGAAAAAAAGATGAATCGGAAAGTGTACTCTTATAGATGCACGTACATTAGCTAGAGAAAATATTGTCATGAAATTAAACACAGATTTTAACGGACTAGGGCACTATGAACGTAAGAAAAAAAATATACGAAAAAAATATATAAAAAATAAACGTCCCCGACTTAACGGATAATACTGCGTTATGATTACTTTCCTTTGATTATTTTTTTTTTTTATCGACTCAAGCAGGAAATTACCTGAAATGATGAAGTGTGTGTGGTCTAAACTTAAGTCCCTTGCCCTGTTATTGGCCCATTTATTTATATCATGTTTTTTAAGTTTGCTGTACTTATTCGGATGCTTTGGCGTTGACATTGTTGTCTATGGATTAATTAATTAAATTAAGTTTATTAATAAAATATATCGATTTTTTTGCCAATAAAAAAATTGACCCATTTTTTTAAATTGAATTTTCAATAAAATGATCCCATGGTTACATTACACTTTAAGCTTCATTTTCGGTTTTTCCCTGTAGGTACAAAACTGTGATTTACACGTCTCCGATAGTAGCCAAGCAAAAAAAAAAAAAAGGCTTCTTTTCATTTAAAGGAATGATTCCATCCCTTGTATCTTAAATGGCAAAGGTTTTATTAAATAGTTTTCGATTATTTTGCATTGTATTGTTGTAAATAAAAAAAAAAAAAAAAAAAAATTTTCTTAAAAAAATTTCATTAGATGAGCATCAGCATATTCGATACAAGCTGATCTTTCGTCTTTTCACTATTAATATTATTTAATTGCAATTATCATAGCGTATGCTTTTTTTTATTATTTCGTTTATTTGTGTTATTTTCTTATTATTTTCAATCGCTTAAAGTAAACAAATAATTAAAATGATTTTTATACAAATCAAAAGTGTTCTCATTTTCATGTTTTTTCAGATATATTTTTAGAATATAAATATTTCTAAATAATTTAACTTCTTTCCATTTTCATTTATTTGGACATTGTTTTCAATTTTTAGAAATCATTAATTTTTCTTTATAATCACAAAAGTGTGTGTGTGTGTATGTTCATAATTCAATTTGGTTTGGTTTGGTTTGATTTGATCTGATAGGTGGATAATATTTACCTTCTTCTCCAAATGCATATAACTATTTCGTATTCGAAGAATCGAGCAATCGATAAAATATAATTACGTTAAAGTAGGATGAAAATAAAGGAACGCGTTGGCGTACAATATTCAATTATTCAAATTAAATTTGATATATATTCTATGCAGCTAAACAAAAATTTCAATTTAAATAGCCATTGAAGCTCTCTTCGCGGGCACAATTCTTATGTATCTGATCTCCCAGGTTGCAAGTTCCTTCACTAAATCGCACTTAATCGGCAAAAGAACGTTCGATATCATTTCTTAATACGAACAGCTGCAAATACCTCTACAAGAAATTCGTGGAAGCAAGCTGATGTCGAAATTTGTTTGAAATTATCGCCAAACTCATCACCTAATACTTTGATTGTTTGACGTGCTGCATGGTATGCAGCTCGGCTTTATCAAAATTAGGTACTGCTTACATCCACACTATCCAATTCAAGGCTTTTCGATTTGCAACACTTCCCATCTCTGGTAAGTGAGTCTCCATTCCCATTGTCGAAGAAATAAAGGCGGATTACCCCATCAGCCAAAAAACCACTTTTACAATATGTACAGATATCTCGGAAATAATTCAATTCGTGAACTATGTTCACATAAAAAATATTAATTGCATTTATTCACTGAGCTATTTAGGTGAAAATGACACTGATTTGAGTTCCCTTATGTAGGCAATTTTTGAAAAATTATCAAAAGTAGTTGTGGTGTGCCTTTCTCCAGGATAAGCTTATAAATTTTACGACACGCAATTAAACAAAGACGCGCAAATTTTTTTTATTTAAAATATGGAGGTAATGTCAAGGGAAAATCATTAGGCTCTATAAAAATGAGTGTGTCAGAAAGTCCACACTTGGAAGTCAAACTCGTATATATATTTATGTACATTAAAGAGTTATCGTGAGTTATCTTTGTATTAAGACAAATATGGTCAAATTGATACTTTCATCAGTCGTTGAAGAGTATATATGTCGTATGCTTAATTTATCCTTAAACACCTGGATCCAATTTTGGTCTCCTATATCTCTCGAAGAAGAATTTTGTTCTTTGGCAAAAAAAAAAAAAAACGCTGCTTCAACTTCAAACAGGCAAACTACATATGGCTACAAAAAAGATCTTATCATATTCCATGAACCATCAAAAACAATAGAGTTGGACATGGCAAAAGCGTAAAAGTGTTCGAAGTCACATAAGATCGGTGACAAATGCGTAGATCGTTAATCCGCCAAGCCGCCACGAGATTTTAGACATTAACGTGCTTTGTACATGGGAAAAATCTTACAACTATTCGCAGATATAGATGTTGATCCTTTAGGCTTCAACAAGAGTAACTATGCCATGGAGATCAAAGACAGGGCGCCGGATTTTCTTTTTAGAAAGAATTTTAATAGAATTCGGAGTAATAAAATTCCCGGTATATGATTCGAACGCGTGGATCTAGATGAGTTATTCATCAAATAGATAAGAATCGTGACTACTAAGCCGGTATTCGCAGATTGAAATCTCAGTGCGGTAGAGCTTACTTTGGTCATAGCTATAGAGAGCGGTTAGTCGGTAGCGGCATAACACATGTGGATCATCATCTTTTCTCACTACTATTGTGCGACTACAAGTTCGCTTCGATTTTTAAATTCAATATAGTAAATTGCATGGAATTTTATACAACATTTCCTTGTGCTATGCTTTGATGTTTTATATAACGGTTACTTTCAAAAACAAAGTGAATTTGTTTTCGTCGAGTGGTCCGACTATTATTGTGTCCGCCGTCGCGTATTCATAAAATTATAGTTCACCATCACCGTTAAAAAAGGACGAAAAGTCTTTCCTACTTCTCTTTTATTTTTAAATGTGTAAGAAGCTCTATCAATAAAATGTTCACTAAGTGGTATACAAGATCAATAACAAGTATCTAATCTTGTGTTGTCCTTCTTGCTTTAAACTGGTTCCTTTCAAGGTAAGCTGCACGCCATGTGAGGCTCGCAACTATTTTTAATCATCATTAGATCTATGCGTTTAAATGTCTGGCAGTCTTTACTTTCCGGCTCGTCATCCGAAAAGTTCTTCTTTTTCCTACTAAGAAGCGAGCAAGTCATTTCAATGCTTGTTCCGATTTCCAGAACGAATAACAAATGATGAGTTCTATCATCTTTGTGTGGGACTTTCGAGTCAAACTCTCGAACAATGAAACCGAACCAAATACAAGACTCGGTAAATATGATAAGTTGTGGCTTTCAATTTTGTGCTCAAGTCAAGTTTAGTCAATACGTTTAAAAGTAAATTCAAAGAATAAGCTTAAAAGTACCAATAAAAAGTGATTGTAATGAACTTAATATGCGCTGACTACTAATAGGGATAATTAGCTTATAGATTTCGAATATAAATTTTGAAATGCCTTCAGTTTTGAACCGTATTAAGATTCATGTTTCGCTTTGTTTTACATATTTGCTAAAAATAATTTCCAAAGATGTGTTCCGGCAATGCTTTTGATTTTCTTGCGCTTATGATGAAACGTGCTTTTTCCCGTCTATTATTTATTACAAATACTTTTCGCTTTATTTCAATATACAAATTATTCGCAAAAAGTAGTTTTTCTATATAAATATAACATACATAAATTTTATTTTACAACCATTCAAATGAAATGAAATATAAATTACTTTTGCTCAACATATTACAATAACAAAATGGAGGTATATTAAACGCTTCATTTCGTATGTAATCTTCGAAACTATATATCATCAATACTCACATCCGTCGAAAGGAATTCTTAAAGTTCTGAACACGTAAATAGAAAACGAAAACCTGTTTTCGATCGGATGGCAAGCATGTGTACACCGATAAATGGAATTTTGAAAATTTCACTATTTTTTCAAAAGAAAAAAAACTATTTGTCAGGATTAACGTTTCGCTGCTTAATGGTCCGTTCGCACTTCAAAACAAGGTCTAGTTCTTATTAATTTATCTTAAGGGGTGAAGGATGAATTCCCATTAACGGATTATACATTTTTTTTTCTTTGACGCCAGTCACTAAGTAGTTAGCGGCTTTATATTGTGAAGAAGAGAAACGGAGAAAACTGCTAGACTCTTCTATTCAGGACGACGATCTTGCCGTTAGTCGCGCTTAGATCTAGTTTTCTTAGTTTTCTTCGCGATTTCACATTTTTATGCAGATATTTTCAAGATTAAGTTCGTACCACTGAATTGTGATTTTTCAGAAAGCGAAGGCTTTATTCCAAATTTTCAGAAGATCAGTTCACAAATGAATCGTTTGTGGTACGTTTTGTTTGGAACATTTCGGTGCATCTTGTCGTCTTATTCGTTCAAATATCGCGATTCAAATCGATTTGCTTTGGTTCCCACAAGTACTCTGTCCGTCACTGATACCACATATCGTTCTGATACTGTCACGTTAAGCCTTTTTAGGCATTAGACGTGAAATTGTCAGCTGAATTGTCACGTAAGGCATCATGAGTCTGTATTCGGTTATTACATATTAAGAATATCGCTTACTAGAAAATCGGGTAATCTTCATTATCAAATGTGTGATTTTCCTAAAAAAAAAATCACGTAATCCATTGTCATAGTAACTGAACAGATTTGTATTGAACTTAACGCTATAAAATCCGATTTGTTTCCATGCGCAAAACAAAGTGAATTCGATTAGATCAACATTTTTCAATTTCACAATATTAATTATTTTTTCTTCACATACACTTCTTTTTTTATACCCTACATCACTTGTTGTACAGGGCATACTAACTTAGTGCGATGGTTTATAACGCGCAGAAGGGGTTAAGATGGACCCACCTTTTATTATACCAATCGATTCGGAATCATAATCTGACTTGACCTAAGCATGTCTGTTCCTCTGCCTCTCTGATGTCTGTCCATGTAAATTTTTGATCAAGAGACAATTCTCAATTTTTGAGTAATTTGATGAAATTTGATAAAGTGACGAGTTTTAACTTAAGGACGTGGTTCGGATCGAATCACTTTTTCGACCATTGCCCTAATCTGATAAGTCATTATATGGAAAAATATTGTCATTTTCAAATTTCTCGGCAAAAGTGTTTAAGTAGTAGTAGCATTTCGGCATTCTAAAATGGTATGGAAACTTTGGACCGACCAGGACAATTTTTGAACCCTCTCGCATACAACGAAAACTGAAGTTCGTAATAGTAATTTAACATAAAAAATTAACTGTGCCAAATTTGGACCATCTCGGCCTATTTTTTGGATCCTACTTTAATAATGATTTTCATAAAAATTGATCCTTTGTAGAGCAGAAAAGTCTAAGTTTTAATATGTAGTGATCGAAATTGACCCACAATATTATAATAATTTCATACAAAAGTGACCTCTACGAAATTTCGAGCACCTAAGTCTATTTTTATACCCTACCCTATGTAAAGATTAAACTTGTGCTACATTAGATTGCGTTTCGGGCCCGCTTTCCCATAAAGAGGCGCATGAAAAATATGTCTTTATACAGAGACAAGATATAATTTTTGTGTTCTATAATAATAATAAGAATTTTTTTAGACAATGTGGTGTAGGGTATTTAATGGTCGGCCTTGTCCAACTATAATGTTCTTACATGTTTTTCTCTCTCGTTTTGAATAGCACGCAAACTTCATAGATATCTTATAAAATGGAACGAGGACAAGAAAAATATCTCTCATCGGGAAGTAATACAACAAATACGACACCTTCCCGGCCGGCTTCACGACGCACTTCCACTATTATAACGCGAGAATCATTACCAACACCGCCACCCGATCCACGGGTACGAGAAGCCCAAGAAAATGTTTTCATTTATCCGCCTATTACAAAAAATTTTTCCAGCGAACTTCAAGGTCTGCTAAAATTTGGAGAAAGACAAAATGAATATCAAAAACTTCTAAGGCAAAGTATCGCAAGTGATTGCAGAAAATCGCATAAGAATTCGACGAAGGAGGATAGTTCAACGGACGAAGCGGATAGATGTGAATGTTGTGAGAAATTACGCAAAGAGTTTGAATATATCATGGAACCGTTACAGAATCGTTTGAATTCGAATATTACCAATGCTTTGGCGGCTTATGGAGCCATGGACCAATTAAATCGTATGTACACAATGTGGGAACATTACATAATCGTGGAGAAAGAGTTACGGCAAAGTAAGGAACGCCTACGTTATGTGAATTTGCTACAGAGAAAGGTAAGTCCGTCAAGTATGGAATGTTTACAATTCTTATTTTATAGATGCCACAGGTAATAGATGAGAAAAATATTAAGGATCGTCCAGCAACAACAACTGCTCCGACTAGCTCATCTAAGGATGTAGATAATAAAGATATAGAAAAATCTATTGCTTTATTAGAAACAATATTAAAGCCAGAGCAAATAGCGGCAACTAAAAGTCAAGAGATCAAAGTGTAAGATATGCTTAAGCTAGTAAGCTAGTAAGAAATATTATAGTCATGTTATTTGCCTTTCTAGACATCGGGAACGCAGTAGATCCTTTATGATAGAAGATATTCCCAGTTTACGCGAGGCACGTGAAAGCGATAAAAATAATGCTGTTAAACAACATTTATTAAGGAGGCAGAGTACTTACGGCGATAGCAAATCAAAAGTTTCGAAATGGACTAAAGTGAAAGCGGCTTTTAAATGGGAAAAAGCCAATGTACCAGTTATAACGGAGGGTACACGTGACGTTCTTACACCAAACAATGCTGAAGTGGCGAGGTAAGTGAAAGCCTTAACGTAACGAATCGTTTCAATTGATTTTATTTGTGTTTTCTATTAAAAGATATCTACGAGTACCGTCTGTACCTTGCGGTGGTAGTTCAGCTGACAGCATTTTGAGTTCATCTTCGGGCCACTTACTAAGCGAGGGTACTATGAGCTCTGCCAGCTCAATGGACGATATTGATAATAATGCTCAACCTAATATGCGTAAATATATGTCTAAGTATTCTATGGTGCTTGAATTAATTTCATAAAATATTTATTAAACAGGTAAAGATTCATCGAAAAATTATGTAATGAATTCAGCGGCAGAAAAAAAAGTAGCTGAAGAAACAAAAACGTTAGATACATCGCTTCCGAATGAGTCGCACAAATGTGTTTCTCCGACAAAGTCAACAAGCAATAAATCTTTGCGTAAATACAAAACTATAACCGACTTTGAAGTTGTACCTGAAGATGTTGAAACCGATCTCAGCGGAACTGGCAAACGTAAAACACGTGTTCCTCCCCGTCCATTAAATCTTAATATTAAACAGGTGTGGCTCATGTGAGAATCATACTATCATAATTAAAAAAACGCTTTATCATTGATCCCGTTTTAATGACTTTCCCTTCCCCTTGGCAATCTTCTTAATTAGGATTTAACCGACATTGATCTTAATTATTATACAACATCACCTCATTTATTGAAAGCCAGTCCAAAAGATGGCACTCAATCGCTTAATCGTACGGCTGTTAAGAAAATCAGTTCACCCGTCAATTCATCTGTGCCTTCAAGTCCCTCCAGACATTCAGATTGTTTTATTGAATTCGGTTAGTAGTAAAATAAAAAAATCTCTCAAAACTCATTTACTTTAAATTTTTTTCTTTACTTAAAAACTGCTGCTTTACTGCTTTCGCTCACCTATCAAATTAGAAAGTGAAGATTTATCTAGTGGTGATTTTTCCGAATCAAATTCACCCAATGACTTGATGACGCGTAAAAGTTTTGAACAACAGCAATTGGAAATCAATCGACGTTATGAATTGCTGCGAATCAAATTGGATAAAGAATTTGAGGCTAAGCGTAAGGAATGGGAGAAAATGAAGACGAGTCGTGGTAAAAATTCGACTTTAGTTTTAAATAAATTTGCGTACAATTTTCTTTTGTACGAATCACTTGCAGGTATTTCATTAATAACGGCTAATAAAACACCAGAGCCTTTATCGCCCAGTCCGTCGATGATGAGCAATAATTTAACGACCAAATTTTTAGAGGAAAATCTTACCCCCGACTTTAAGAAAAAGTTACAAAAATGGCGCGTTAAAAAGCAAGCTTCAATAGGAGGTATACAAAGTCAAGCTACGCTGCACACAACAACACCGAAAGAGAATGTAACCGCATCTGCGACTTTAACTCCAACATGTGTTAAAGAAAACAATAACATAAAAATTGATTGGAATTTATGGAAAACAGGACAATTAAAGTTGGAGGGCCAGGGTTTAAGTCCGTTACCCGAACAAAAAGATTTGCCGGAAGAGTTCCAAAAAAAATTAGGTGAATTTAAATAAAATAATAAAAGATGAGTTGAATTTGTAGCGTAATTGTTTCAGAACAATGGAATAAAATCAAACGCGGCGGTTCTTCAACAAGTTGTGCGGACTCTTTAAAACGTTCCCATAAGCATGGTAGTGGTGGCAGTAGAAAAGGTGAATCCGATGATGACAAGAAAGCCGAGAAACATAAGCCTCCTGATAAAGAGAAATCGGAGAGGTATGAAAAAAATTGACCAAAATCCCATTATCCCATTATTATAAAACATTCGATCCTCTCTTCTTCTTTTTCCTTTTTCTTCTCCTAACTTCTCCTAACAACACTTCACTTTTTCCTTTTTTTCTTTCTCTTCTCTTTCTCCCCTCTTCTCCTATTCTCTCTTTTTTTTCTGCTTTGCTTTTCTTTTCTTTTCTGTTACCTTGTCCTCCCCTCTCTATTCCCGTTTTTGTTCTTTTTTAGATTGGCCAAATTGAAAGCTATTGTTGGTGATCACCCAGCTAAAGAGATTGAAGTAAAAACATCAGCTGGTGTTATGAAATTTGAAGGTATCTCTCGCAAGTTTACCCGTAAACTTTATGAGTGGGAGAAAGCGCGCGGTATCGGCCCCGAAGCTTCCACGTTCGCTTTACTACATCCCGGTTATTGTCCAATCGATGTTAAAAGAATACCGAAAGAGACCAATGCCCGTAAGTCTTCTTTCTTAATTTCCATCAATTTTCATTATATATTGGTTTTTATACCTATAATCAAAGGTTGAGAGGTTAATTCGTTTTCTCAAAACGTACTGTGGACACCTTTGCTTCCCGTGTTTTTTTTTTTTTTTTTTTTTGCTTGTTATTCATGAAGTACAACACGTACATCATAAAAATTTCCACTTTTATTCTGAAAATAGAAAATATCAACCACGCCCACCTAATGCTATAGAGAACCTATATCTGATTCTTTCCTTTAAGATAACGATGATGGGTATAAAAGATACGGTCACGTTCAAATATAATTTTCTTATTTGATTACTTTTCTCTTAAAATATAGAAGAAAATCCACCTACCTTAAGTAGATCGTTATCGTTAGACAGCGTAGCACCTTCTGCAGCTATACCGATGATATCGCAACAGGCGTCCAGTTTATCGTTGAACGATGTTAATGATCTGAAAAATATAGAAGAAAAGGGTGTAAATAGCACGGAAGTTTTAACTTTAGGGAATGAGTTTAAAAGATTTGAAGAACCCGAAGCTGTTGTGGTCGAAGTCGAGGATCATATTGTGGAAACAGCTTCAGCATTGATAACTGCAAATCCCTGGGATAAGCAACAGACACCAATTTATAAATATGAAGAAATTACTTGTAACGATTTTTGGTGAGTTTATTTCGCGACAGTTATCATAATAATCCTTTTCACATCTTTGTTCATGCACATATTTTAGTAATACGAGGAGGGTGCAAAGTTTTGAGTCTCATACTAATGTAACTCCGTTATTGAATGTATTGAAAAATACCGAAGAATTGTTGAAATTATTGAAACAAAAATCACCAGATATAGGGGAAAATATGATTTTGAAGCAATGTGAATCCGTAGTGACCTTGATACGCAACAGCTATACTTATTACTCGGAAAATCTGACGAAGCCCGCTTTAGTAAATGCTATATCTGATGCGCAAGTCAAATTAAGTCGCTTAAGAGATTTGGTAAGAGTTTTTCAAGTTAATCGTGCCGATCTATATTGTTATTAGTCATTAATCTTAATATTCAATAGAGCGCCAAATCGCCGTTAGACGAAGCTTGTTGCCAGGAGATTATGAAGGAACGCAACGCAGAGTATAACGAAGAATTTCATGGTCTGCGAGAATGTTTGGAGGTTTTAAAGCATAATTTGCGCAAGTGTTCATCACTAAGGTCTTTAAAGAAATGCATTGGTTTTTCAATGGTTTTATTTATCACTTTCAGTTGGTAACGGGCCCCTTTGTTCTAGAGATAATGTACCCGATATTAATATAACTTCTGAAGATGGATTAGAATCATCGGTTATTACGCAGCCGGGTGATACAACTTGCGATCAAATGTCCACAACGTTAGAGGCTACCGATGAATTAAGCGCTTCGGTAGTAGAGAACGATACCGAAACTCCGAACGTTACAGTTACTCGTACAGGCAGCGGTAGCGGTGGTGGTGGTAAGAAAAAAATTCGTTTACGTAAAGTAGGCTCGCGTCAGAACAGTAAAACGGATAGTGATAGCAGTGATGAGGACAATAATTATGGCAGTAATTTAGAAACTCCGAGGCGTTTAAAACGGAAAAGCTACCGGCTAAAGCAACGATCATTTGATGACGATCCAAAACTTAACGCTGACGATATGATTTATACACTAAAAGTTAAACCGGGCCAGCGTATAGAAGAAAATCGTGAGAGCGCGCCCCTGAAAGAGCCTATACGAACTGCTGCTTCTTTAATTCTGCCGTTGACAATTTCCACTTCATTGCCGAACGTGTTTGTCAAAACTAAAAGAAAACTATTCACAACGGTACAAGAACCAGCCGCTGTGGATGGCTTAACTGTTATCGAACAAGAAGTGGATAATTCTCCTGTGGAGCAAATTCAAAAAAATGATCTTAAACTAAATGCAGTTACTTTAGAGGACAACGAAAGCAAATCTGATTATTGGACATATAATGCGAAAATAAAACAACTGGAACAACAAGTTAAGCCACGGTTACTGTTAGTTCATAAGTCTCTCAGTTTAGACGATACACGTACCGATATGGAAACAAATGACAGTAATGATAAGAAATCCCATAGTATGGAAAATATCCGTAATAAAAAACTGACTAAAGCAACACGACCACCTTTAGCCAATGACAGTTTCCGTTTAATAAACAAAATCAAAGGATCGCATATTGAGGGTAAAACTAAAAAAATCAATTCGGCGAATGAGAAAATCGAACATGTTTTTAAAAAACACGCAGATAAAACTCACACGAGGGGGATTACTGTTAAAAAGATTGAAACGAAAATTTCGAAATCGCAAACTGCCAACACTGTGTCAACGGATAAATTCGATAACACTTTACCACGTATTCATCGTAAATGGGAACGTAAATCATTGACTCCTACTACGCAATATACCAAATTCAATTATCCCGAGCCCGCGACCTCGGAACCATCTAGTCCAATGTACGCGGAAACTTATTATAAGCCGGCAACTCCGCTCACCGAAAGGGCTTTGCGTTTGAAAAAAGCAAAAGAAGATTTCTTAAAGGGTTTTGCCGATTTTCCCAGCCTTCAGCAAGCGCAACCGCATAAATTAGAAACAAAGCAACTCTCACAGTGGCCCGAAAAAGGCCAAAGCGATTTAAGCTTAAGTTCTGTTACTACGACTGATGAGCGTTCTCTGGTAGATGATGAGAGCACTGAAATGGAACAAGAAGAAATCCCAAAAAGTTTAAGCGCCAACACTCTTAGAGACGAAACACCGGCCACTCATTCGGATACCGGTACAGATCAGGATTTTGGTGCTTTATATAATTCATTTCCGCGCCAAGTTACACGTTCTCGAAAGATAACCAGTAAATTGGGCTTTGCTACGTTGGCTTCGAAATTGCGTAAAGTGAAAGGCAAGAAGAAACCGAAGAATACCAGCAGCGAAACTATATCAAATGTACCTCTAACAGCGAGTAATAGTAATAGCGCTCTGTCAACATTGTGTCGCCAAAGTTTATGGTCTGATGTTATAGCGATACCTCGTTTAATAAATAGCGATGATATGACATCGCCTTCGACAATTAATAAATCGAAGTCATCTCCACATGCCTTACAACAAGCAAGACAAAATATTACGGAGGAATCGAAAGCCAACGTGAATATACAAAACGAACGTTTAAATAAATCACAAAGCGAACAATACGTGAAACGCCATAAAGAAAGCTATGTCTAGTCATAGAGAATAAACATTAGTTGTAATTTTCAGTTTATCAATTAGTGAACTGTATTTATTTATTAATATTGCTTTAGAGGGCAAACAATCAAATGAAAGAAGAATAAAATGAAAAAATCAAAAGTAAATATTTCAAGAGTTTGTTTTATACGGAATCCTACAACATCGAGATGCAGCACCATCAACAAATTAAGGAATATCATTACAATACCCGGCGAACAAATTAAAATGCTTTGGGTACCAAGTCATATCGGTTTATTGGGAAATGAGAAGGGTGATCGAGCGGCGAAGTATGCTGCTTCTGCATCTCGAAAATTACAGAAGGAAATCGACAATACCATCATCATCAGCACTACTCTTCTATTAACCCCCAATTAATTCCACCTTTATATCCAACAAATGTTGCGAAATTCAAGATTCAAACATTTTCGGGAATTCGTCTTGGCCATGCAATTGCAACTTACCAATGGATCTTAAAGAAGTCTTTCTCCCCAGTCTGCAATTGTGGGCAAATTCTCACTATAAAGCACATTCACAGTGATTGCCTTAACTTTTTCTTGGCTAGAAGTATTACATTTGAAGCGACTAACCCTATGGGCATTTTAAAATCCGCTACAGAACAGCATATCAATGCAATGCATTACTTTATCAAAACTACTAGGCTCAATATCTAATGTGCTTTTGTAAATTAGAGCCGATAGCCTATGTTGCTCTATGTCTTTCTTCTCTTAGTCTAAGAACTTTTATATTAATAATAACTTCAAAAGGTTACATACTTCGGAAGATCTAACTTTTTATTTTTTTTAAAGTTCTGTAATTTTTTTCATGGAAAGAAGCTTTTTTTTTTTAATTTAAGAAATGATTTGAACCTTCTACAATATAGGGATGAAAAGAAGCTTTTTCTTTGAAATTTTGACCCTTGTGTCTAAGCATTCAAAAGACACCATCTGGGAGGTTATATTATAATTTTTTCTATCTCTCTGTTGATTTCTAATTGCTCTAAGATACTAACAGATACCTTTTGGGGAGTGTTTATGTTTATTGATAAACATTTCTAAACTAAAAAATGTTTGAGTAGCCCGTTATGGAGAGATTAGGAAAAGGAGAGGAAATTTTTGGCTTTGATTACCTATCGTCGGCAATAGACTTAGAACAATTGTTGTCGTCTTCTCTGCCATTTCGCAACACATAACATGCAAAAAACTTGCAATTCTATTTTTAGCAGATGTAACAAAAACCCCATCTATCCCTATGTACTTCTTTTAAGAATTTTACTGTAAAGATCTTCATGTAGTTTTTCTTATTATGGTTATTAGTTTTTAGAATTAATCTGAAAATCGGAAAATTAAAACTGTCCTTACGTATTCAAATATCCCTCGTTATTCTCTTTCCTCCAAATTTCTTTCGCGAGATAGTGCCACTTTTGTTGCCACGATTTTATTGAAAGATATGCTATTTTTATACCGTTCGCCGATGGATGAGAGGTATATTTATTTAGTCAAGATGTTTGCAACGGCCAGAAGGAAACATCAGAGACCCCACAAAGTCTATATATATTCTTGATCACCATCAAATTTTAAATCGATTTAAGTATATTAAGCATGTCTGGCCATTTGTCCGCCAATCCCCCTGTGTAATGTCTGTTGCAAACGTTCTCCTGACTGCAAAAATGAAGCTATTGACTTTGAATTTAGCAGAAAATTGAAAATTCTTGATCTGAAGTGGATATTGAAAATGGGTCGAATCGGTCGATTAATACGCCCACTGCACCACGTAAACTTAGAACATCTCTGTCTTTGAAAAGGAATAAGAAATTGGTTTTTTTGCTCATTATTCATAAAATATACCAGATTTATGCACGAAAATTTGAACGCATTTTCTATGGGTGACGCTGTACAACATGTATGAAAATCGAAGAAGTTGACTATGCCTATGCAATATTTTAGTTCAATTTTTTTTTCCAAGCTTCAAAAACCCCATAAAGTATATATAAGTTTTTGGGCAGTTTAAAATTTGAAATGCACTCAAGCATGCCCATCGGTCCATCTGTCCGTGTGTCTCTCTGCCCAGCTGCATAGTATCTGATGAGTATAAAAGATTCGATCATGATCAAATCGTATTTTCTTACTTGTTTCGTTTAAAATTGATATTGGCGTCTTAGGGCCGAAAGTTATAGATAAAAATAATTTGGATTTTTTTGATTTTTTTTAACGTACGCGTTTGTAAAAGGACAGCAGGACTAGCTTTTAGTGTGCAGTTTCATGTTTTTGCACTAAACGTATAAGAGTGCCCATAGTAATTAGTAGTTGACAAGAAATTTCGGGACAATAGATGGACGGATGAATGAACGACCGGACGAGGAAGATGAAAACAAAATTGTGCAGTTCCTAAGAATATATTCCATTTAGGACTCAATGTTGTAAACGTAATGATAATATTAAAAATACAACATGTAAGCGAGAGATGGCGCTGTGTTGAGAGCTATTCTCTCTTGATAACTATCAATACAATAGAATCTGATATAAAACAAGTAAGAAAATTATATTCGGTCGTAATCGAATGTTTTATACCCATCAACGCTATCCTAAACAAGAAAAAGTAAACGAACTTAACTCTCATGCTGTATAATATGGAGTGGGCGCGTAAGCGCTTCCTTGGAAAAGTCTTAACAAAAATTAAATTTTGGTGCAATACAATATTATGTAGGCGTGGCGAACTTTTCCCATTTTTATATAGATACTACACCGTCGCCCATAGAGTATGCGTTCAAAATTTTTGCACATTTATCTGCTATGAATAACGAGCAAAAAAGCAATTATTTATTCGCTTCCTCTGTTTACGTGGTCTGCGGCCCAGGTGTTCTTCAACCGATTCAACTTATTTTCAATGTCAACCTAAGTGCCAGAATTTCCAAAGTTTCTGTCAAATTCGAGGTCAATAGCTTCATTTTTGGAGTCTGGAGAATATTTACAACGGATATTATACACGTGGACAGACACAGGGGGATAGGCGGATAGATGGCCTGACATGCTTAGTATGCTTAAATCGATTTCGAATGTAATGGTGATCAAGAATATATATATATACTTTGAGGGGGCCTTTCTTATGTGTCCTTCTGGGCGTTGCAAACGTTTTGACAAAATGAATATACCTCCAATCCTTCGGTGATGGGTATAATAAATAATGTTAACGATGAACAATGAAATATTTATTAGTTAAAGGGATTAACTAAATGGCAATCTAAAGCGATATCACTTCTAAATGAATTATTTATTACCGATAGCGATAAAAAACTTCGAATAATTTTTAAAGTAATAACAATTGTTAGTTAAATTCGCGCTGGTCACTTGATCGTTAGATTCTAACAGCAGCAATGAGGATTATTTTAACTTTTTTAAATTTATTTCTTGTAAGTTTTCGAGCATCAGGCTATCTAATCCGGTTGCTTTTCTAATAATGTTATTTTCTAAAAGATTCATCAGTGTTGGGCTTATAAGGAGATTCTATCAATTTTAGAAAATGAAAGGGATTTACGAGTCGAGGAACGTAATGCTTTATTCCCTTTATTCCAAGAAATGCAACTCCAATATGATTTCATAGTGAAGGAGATCGCTCAAAGTAAGGAGAAGAAGGATAACCAAAAAACGTTGACTGAGAGCGATAGCGCTGAGGAACCTTTAAAAGAATTTCAGCGCTACTTTGAAGAACTAACTAAAACAGGAAATCGACCTTCGAATGCCTATGATAGTCAATTGCCAACGATAAAAGAATTATTAAATACAACAGATTTAATTGATTTGAGTCGAGAGCAACAGTTGGAGCTTCAAGATGTACAAAATATAATGCAGGACACTTTAGATCAAGCTCAGGAAAATATCAATCAGTTAATAAAGAAGTCCTTGGAGATCGAAGCTAATTTGCTAAAGTTAAACAAACCGCAAATTATTTTATTAATTTCAAAAGCTTTAGGCGTTTTATTTAATGTCGCTTCTCAAGTGTCCAGAGCCGCTTATTGCACCTACTCTCATATACCAGAATTGAATATTTCGTTACAGCATATGTACGAAGGTGCCGATTGTTACACTTACACTACATCTTTGGTTGCGACGGTACAATATGAAACTATGACAACGATTTCGACGATGAAACAGAATATTTTTGATATGGCAGCCATTTATAAAAAGATTGCGTCACAAAATTCGCTTTTAGGAAAAATTCTGACGTTAGTCTTAAATTTTACCGAAATAGCGCGCAACATAATTGACAGTTATAATACGGCTATGCGTGCCTTGAATGGCGTGCAACATCAATTGCCTTCCGCTGCCCTAGAGGCGACTAAATGCAGTAAAAATTTTGCTACTAAAATCCCATACATAGTTCAAACTGTATCTACCGTTACGGAGTGTATTACGTTTGTAGACGATACGACGTATGTCTATGATTTTATGCTTCCAGAGAATTCTGAGAGGAATATAGATTTTCAGAATCCAAAGTCTACGAACTGGGACGAAGATTATTAAGTGTACAAAGAGAACTGATGTGTACATTATATACTCTGGACAAGTCCACCACACGCCACCATATGCTAATATGATTCAGTGGTGAACGCTCTTTTTAATGTGGCTTGTGGAACTATTTGTTTTTAATTTTTTGAAAAAATATTGAATAAAAATTTTTGTAAATAAAATTTCGAACAAAATTTTTGAACGTTTTTTCAGTGTCCTGGAAGTTATAATGGATGCATTCAACTTATGACCCACGTTTTATGCTTACGATTCCTTAGTGTTAACCATGCCTGAACAACAGATCATCCTCTTCCTTGCTTTTCTTATATTGAAAAGGTCGTGAGTATAAACGTTTCTAACGGCAAGGTATTGTGTTTTGTATGCGACTTTGTGGCTAAAAAATAAGTTCTTTGTGGCGTGGTGGCCGCGTCAAATTTGTTGTACAGAGTATATGTGTTTTTGCAATACATTGAAGAATACATGATAGGTTTGGAAGTCGTGCCGAATACTTTTAAAGAGGACTTTTCCTTAAAGGTGATGCTATTCATCCGCCTAGGAATTGTTGAGAATGCCGCTTTAAAAAGGTTACATATTCCCGCCAGTTTTTGCTTACAGGCTTTTAGCGAAAGCTAAGTTTCGCACCAAACATTTGCACAGTTGCATTTAACAACTCAACGGCTCTTCATTCTAAAGGATAAACTAGATGGTTAATCTAGACGCTTTAATAAAGTTGTGTATTCTTCTCATAATAAGTTCTCGAGGTGCGTGCAAGATGTTAGAGGCTCCGAATAGTCATCCCTGAGTTTTAGACAGGCTTTGATGTCTATAAACTTTCATTCACAATTGCAAATTGCAGAAATACATTCCTTAAGGATCCAGTGGTGTATTGTAAATATGACCAAGACGGATACTTGCAAATGCTTTGATATGGATTCTCTTGACGCTGATTGGACATAGTGGTGGAAAGAGGTTAAGACCAATGTGAGAGTAATATGGATGTGCTGTGGACTTCTTTCCATAATTAATGACGCTGAAGGCACGGATTTGGCTACTAGGTCTGTTCGCTCATTTCCCAAGAGACTAATACATTTTCGTATCCGAAAAATTTTAATTTTATCTTTGTTAGTTGCAATGGTGTTCTTTGCTATCCTCATAGTGTTTTAATTGGAATTATAGGGGTTTCGAATAGCGTTTGCGAGCTTTAGTTTCCGCTGTAAATCTACGTCTGATCTGCCATCGTTCCTTATTATCAGAAATGTGATCTTTATTCACAAGTTTACTTATACTTGTACCTCTTGATATTTATATGAGGAAATTCAATGTTTCAGATCCAGTTGTGCTATGAATTTAATTCTCCCCGACTATAAACCTTGGAGAACACTAAAATAATATTTTGTCAACGCTGCAACGTAACAGAAGCTAGCCCGCTAACATCTAGTACTAAAACTATTGTTAAAGTGAATAGATTTAAAATTACAATTTGGGCTCTCTACAATTCTGAATGCGATCAGTTATTATGTATTTTTGGTCTAATTTTTTCATTACACAATTCATTAGAATGACTTTAATTCTACTTTTATTATATTACCTGTGCCGGAACCGACTTCTTAGTCTTATTTGTACAAAACTCTTCTTTAATTTTAGTTAATCTGAATGAATAACTGACTAAATTGTAATATTAATTAATTAATAATTGCTATTGAATTTTTATTAAACTTTAGCTTCTTTTCAACTTTAAAGAAGAAGCTTGAAACACATTTATGTAAGATACGATTAGGGAGCGATAGACCTCAGCCTAACTATAATCTTCTTGTTTTTTTCTATTCGTTGGAAAGTCCAAATCAAATTTTGTCCCTTTACATTATGCAGTGTTCAATATTTGGACGTTATTTGTACATATATTCTCAACGAAACTAACGCTAGACCTAAAAGCTGCAGAATGCGCGTGACAAACGATATAAAAAACTTAGTATTCTTTTTTGTGATGGCTATAAAAATACATGAGTGATATCTACATAAATTTGTTGCGCACTTGTGGCCACACAATGATACCATTTGCAAGTATGAATTGATTATACCAATAAAAGTTAACGACACTTCCAGCCGCAACCCTGTAGGTTTCGTTTTCCTCTTTTTCGGAACTATAAAAACGAAAGGAAGAATAAAAATAAGAAGAAGAATATAAAAAGGTATAAAAAAAAAAAAAAAAACACGAGACACGCGACCAATTGCGTGTTAGTATGATCCTGTACTTCTTATGCATAAGCAAAAAGCGTATAGCAGACACAACATAAACAAAAAAAGTGAAAAACAAAAAAAAAGAAACACAACCAAAAACTCTGTAAATGAATGCTAAAAATGAAGGAAAGGATATTCAGAATATTTGAAAAGGATATTCAATACATGCACCTACAGCTGAAAGGCTTTCCTGTTAGTAACTTCGTTAGTTAGTAGAGGACTTTTTTTATTTATTTATTTTTTTTTTTTTTTCAAAAATATATAATCGCGATGATCTTTTATGGTGACACAATTGAACTTGCTTATTATTATCTGAACTTTGACATACATCTGCTCTGCTTCAAGTGTTATCGAAACTTTATAAACATATATCAAAAGGAAGGAGAAGAAGATAATCCACAAATTTTATTATTACACATCCAAACAAGTTAGACACGCGTCAATCGTACTTGGCAAATTATTTGGTGACCCAGTCCTATGTATTTAGTTGTCTTCGCTAATGCATGATTTTCTTGATCGTTTTCTTTTTTTTTTTTTTGTGTATTGCATTTTGAAGCACAGATGGTCAAATTTGTTTAAATGTCTATCTAGTTTTCGAGAAGCATTAAGAAATATATAAAAAAAAAAAGAAGCAAAACGGAACGAATATTTATCTTCCCTTGAAAAAATTGTATACTTTTTTTTTGTTTTCGTTTTGTTTTATAGCTAATGCGCAGACGCGCACGCTTCCTTTGTTCAATAAATTCTACACCGTTGTTTCCGCATTAAAATTTGTAATTATATCTGCATCAAAGCAAAAACATATCTTAGGTATCTTTACTAAACACAAATACGTACACTCGTACGTACTCGTACATCTTAGAGATCTTAGCCAGAGAGTTCATGACGACAACAGGAACAACATCATGTAAAAATTGGTCGAAATAATTGCTATCTCTTTCTTACGGTTGACGGTTTATATTTAGGCAGTTACGAAGACATCCATTCATCCATCCATCCACCCGTCCATCCATCCATCCATTCAACCACTATTCTACCTTTAATTTTTTTGTATGTTGTTTGTAGAGCAACATTTAAATGTATCTATATTATATACATTTTTCGATACTTTAAGTGCATCAATTTCAATCTACTTTACCATATGTTCAAATGCATTTTATATATATTTTGTAGTTTAAATTTCTTTCTATATATATACATATATTCGAAACTGTGCAAAATGCTGGCTTACTGGTTGTAGGTGTGCGTATCGTTTTTATAGGAATTTTTGGTGGATACCGAAGTAAAGAAGTTTTATAGAAATTTTATATTAATTCAATGCGCTACCAGCTTTTATGATATAATTCAGTCAATATTTTTCCTATTAATGAAAAGCATTTTCATGAAGAATGCAAACGATTTTTGCCCATTTTTATCTCTATGTTCGTATGTTGAAATAATGAATGCACTTTAAAACTTTTCTTGCATCGCGAGGTTTGTCCCTAAATTATTTCTTGGCGCTTTGTCGTTAAGTTTGAAAAAGTGAAACAATCAGATAAATCGGTGAAATAAAGTTAGTTAAGTCGGACTTGATCAACAAATTTGGAACATCTATGTCTTGGCAGTTGTTAATAATCTTGCCGCCATTTTACAAATTGTTAATAAAGAAAATGAAAGTTCAAAAAATTAAAATATACTCAAAATAATGATGACGATCATCGCAATATTAATTTCCTCAAAATAATGATGACGATCATCAAAAAATTAATTTGCATCAAATATTACAGAGTATCTATTTTTTTTATTTTTTTTTCCTCAAAGTTGGAACGCCTCTTATTAACCATGAAATAAAAATCAATTGAACAAAGTCCAGCAGACACACATATATTCGATTTTTTGAATCCGTGTTTTATCAAAGTCGTGTTATAATATTGGCAAATATGATAGCGAGTTGCTTCGGAATCGAGGTTTACGAGCGCGTTGTTAAGCGTAGGATTCAATGCTATATAATTGTTCTTTATTCGCTCGTGAAGTACAAATCGTTTCTCATGTAATGGATAACTAACTCACTATCTATTCGTTGAGACCTTTTATGAAATACTCTTTTAACCTTTTAACAAAGACTAACTTTTATAAGCAAGAGATTTGAAAGTCAAATATGTCAAAATTGGAAAATTTTATACATTTTAATAAATTCCATTTGACTCTAGATGTAGGAAATGGTTGAGCTCAACCCCGTCAAGGTATAAGATGTTTATATTGCTTATAAGCTTACAGTCGGGGAAGTGATGCAATTGTATCCACGAACATACTTTCAATATTTGCGACAATTTGCGAATTTTAATAAGCGATGAAGAATAGGGCTACACAGATGGACAAGATTATATTAATTTAGAAAACCGTTCACTTATGAGGTAACGAAATTTCTTTATATTTAAGTCCTTGTAAAGTTTTTCTTTCTGGAATTTTCATGATAATGAAAATGAAAACTTTTAAAAAAATGTTCATCAAATAAAAATGATGTGAAGTTTTCTTCGAACAACATTTTTTTTTTAATAATAGATTTACTCTTTTCGAAGAACTCAGTTAACGAAACGAACTATTTTTATCAATTATTGTATTCACAAGATATTTAAAAGCTCTTCACTAAGCCAGATTTGTTCCAATGGTGGATGATTTTGCGGCGGCCCATAATCAGGTCTATAAATCTGAAGAGTAATCTCTAAGTAGGCAGTGTCTCGCTCGTAGGTGATGGGGCACAAAAACAAACTTGTTACTTAAACTTTTGATCGCTTCACAAGAGTGCATAGATAATGATCTTTATATGATACTTAGTCCAAAATGTACCAATTTTGACTGATTGAAGAATTCTTAAAAATAAACATAAACCACGATAAAT